TGCTTTACCCCCACTCACATTACTAATGACTTAAATACCTCTTACTTTTTTTGGTATTATAGTTTAGGTGTCTCAAGCCAATTTTTGCATACTTCGAAATTAATTTCTCTTCAAGTAATCTTAACAGTATATTTGAATAGAATGAAGGAAAGGGGAAGAACTCTTTGTTTTATTTTTTAAAACATTTATTTACTTATCTAAATGAGTGAATGGGGATGGGAGGGGAGGGGAATGGAATACGTTTCCATTGACCTCCTCTCCATTTCTCTCAAACCAAATATATTGAAACGGTGCACTCCCACATAGGTGTGGTGTATTTAAGGAAATTAATTTCCTTAAATATTAATCTCAAGACTCGAACTTTAAACCTAACACATAAGATGATACTTCTTATCAATGGATCTAATTCTTGGGGTTTAAATACCTCTTACTTATATGGGAAAGAAGAAGATTTCCAACCTTAATAGTATGTGTAAGCTTAGAGGAATAGAGGGGAGGGAAGGGGAGAAAATTCCACTATTTTGTTATTAAAAGAATTGGAGGGGATGGGAGAGGAAAGTAATGTTTGCTTTACTTTTTCTTTTAATTCATTTACTTATCCAAATAAAACGAGATGAGAGGAGGGAAGGAAAAATGAAAGAAAATAAAAGAAAACATCTTTCCATTCTTCTCCCCTCTCCTCAATTCCCTTATGTTCTCTGCAAACTAAACAGACTGTACAAGTTTGAATTTTTACCGGCCGAGTGAACCTCCAAAGAATTGTTGATTGTAAGGCCCATTAACAAGAAATTTCGGTTTTTGTAAATGTGCCCAGTGGATTCTCACCCAGAAACCCACAATTTGTGGGCTTTTATACTAATTGATGTTTTTTTGAGAAGAAACGCAATCTGTACCAAATGCTGTTGGAAAATGAGCGACGAACCTATGGATGGTATAATCCTCTTCAGCTCCTTCCTTTTTCATCAAAGCGCCTGCTTTGTTAAACCCTAACAAAATCATCTTACCTTACATTTTGCAGAAGCTAAATTCCAGCCTGTTTTGCATGTCCAAGGAGCAAGACTGGTCAATTTTTAATCAGCAACATAAATCATCATCATCATACTCAATGCTGAAGGGTAATCTCAATTCTGTCCTACATGTATGAAAAATTTTTGAGATCTATCACCTATAATTTGTTTTATGCGGATATATAGGACCCAATACAAGATTAGTGTGTGATGATATGAAAATGAAGAGCACTCGTCAATTAGTGATTTAGTGGAGTGGGAGAGAGGGACACCATCATAAATCACTTTTAACAGTGACACGTAAATGGAATCTGAGCTTTAGAGCCCAATAAAAGTAGTGCCCACTTGAAGAGAAAAGGCCAAATCTAAGTAGTCAACATACCTATCTCTCCCATGCTTGCTGTCCCCTCCTAATATCCTAGCCTTCACTTGCAATCTCATGTTGAGATGATAATATCATATATGAGGTATGTAAACAATGAATGGGCTACACACAGTCATTTACTCAAACAAATTGTAATAAAATTGACACGATGGTAGTTTACTTTTTTCCTTCTTTTTTTTTTTTTCTAGTAACAAAAATTAAATTGTGATAGTGCTTCAATTTAAGAAATAAGAGAGGATAGCTAAACCATCCACCAATAAAAAGGAAAAATGATAACTTTCCAAAATCTGAAATTACATATGCTGCGTGGAAATCGTTATGATCTTTATATTCACAATGTTTTCCACGCTGGCAAACTAAGGATTAGAGGAGGAGCTACTAGATGGTTGGTTGGAATTTTGGTTCTTTCCCGAATACATGGGATAAGAGAAAGAAAAGGGAAAAATAAAAATCCAGAAAAGAAAATTTGTGGCTACAAATTGCCTATCAAGTCGTTGTATCCCCACTCCCTTAACCAATCCCCTTCACTCATAGCTCCTAGCCAGACTCATCCATCTCTCTCTTGTAGAGCATGTCTTTTTTGGTTGCAACTGGTCCTCTCTCAAACGACTGAAACTCATATTCATAAAATAAAAATTCTCCTAACAAAAATAGAGGAGGGAATACATTAAATAAATAAATAAATAAATATGCAAATAGAGGTTAAAGCCTAGAGATGAGTGCAAAATCTCTCCCCCTATTTTAATCACATGCACTTTTCTTTCCCATAATAATTACTTAAAAGCATCCTATTGGCAAAAACAAAAGATAGGAGTTCCAATTAAACAGGAATATTCTGGTCTGCTGAGCTGAGAGTGATATGGTGCATAGTTAGCTAAGGGAGGTAAAAAAAAGTGGGTTTTGTCTTGAATTTTCAATTTTGTTTGATGAGCTTTGAAGATGTCAGGTGGTGGATGCAGCATAGTTTGGTTCAGGAGAGATCTGAGAGTGGAAGATAATCCAGCACTAGCAGCTGGTGTGAGAGCAGGAGCTGTTGTTGCTGTGTACATATGGGCACCTGAAGAAGAGGGTCACTACTACCCTGGGAGAGTCTCCAGATGGTGGCTTAAGCAGAGTTTGGCTTATCTTGATTCTTCTCTGAGGAGCCTTGGTACTTGTCTCATCACAAAGAGATCCACTGATAGTGTCTCTTCTCTTCTAGAGGTTGTCAAATCCACTGGTGCTACCCAGCTCTTCTTCAATCACTTGTATGGTTAGTTTAATTTCTTATTTATCTCCTCACCCTTTGTTCATTTTATTCAATTTTTTTGTCTGCTTATTTGTCCTGCATGCTAATGTCAAAATTTAACTAATTTTTAAATGATGGGTTTTCATAGAAATCATTGATCATATTGATTGACCCTGTAGCCTTGAGGATATTATTTTAGTTACTTTTATGCCTTTTCCCTCTGCCTTTCCTTTTGAGTCATGTTTATTTTAAACTATTAAGTAATTCATGAATTTTTAATTAGAAGGCTTATTAAAATAGATCATTGTTATATATTTTATTTGCTTTCTTCCCTGGTAGGTTGGTTGAATCTTCTCTAATTAGTTCTAATTATGAGATTGGCTTTTTCAAAAACAGTCTTCATAGGATACTTGATTGTATGTTACTTCTGTTTCCTACTAGTATGGTTTAGGAAAACAAAGAAAAATGATTTAGTATCTTAGCATTTTATGGTGATTTTCTGCTTTTCAGATCCTCTGTCACTTGTTAGGGATCACCGGGCAAAGCAAGTTTTAACTGCTCATGGAGTGGCTGTGCGTTCCTTCAATGCTGATTTGCTTTATGAACCCTGGGATGTGAATGATGCTGAAGGTCGACCTTTCACAACCTTTGCAGCTTTCTGGGAGAGATGCCTTAGCATGCCATATGACCCAGAGGCTCCTCTTCTTCCACCTAAGAGGATAATTTCAGGTGAGACTCCTTTCAATTCATTTCCAGACCCTTTAATCTCCATTTCAGTGTCCTTATTGCCAGCTCCTCAATATACCAAAATACTTGATGAATCATATGAAAAGTTAATACATTCATGAATTTTTTATGAGAACTTCAAGAAATGTGTATTTTTTGTTTGGAACTATCATCAGTAGATCTCTCATATGCAATAAATCAAAAGTTCTGTGCAAAATTTCCTTGTCAATAATGCAGGACACAAGCTTTTTCTATTTCATGTTCGAAAGCACCTTTTCCTGTCAGCAATAAAAGCTTCTGTTGATCATATATGCCCCTGGTAAAATCAGCATTGTTTCCCTTATGTCAAGAAACTTAAAGCACACATTTTATCGCCTTGATAATGGATGAGAGATTGGTCTTTTGTTTCTTAATAAGTTGTAAAAAATTTTGTGCTCTTTGTGGAACTGTATTTAGTATCACAATTTAGAGTTAATTATTATTTCAATAAATTTGCACAACAGTTACTCCTTGGAATGAGCTTCCTCACTTTCAACAATCGAAGAATTGGAAAGTCAGACTCACCGTTTTGAAGCCTTTTAGGATTTACATCATTTTCATTTTCGTTGTTGTTCTCATTTTTCAGTTTCTCCATATACCTTTAAGTCTGTGAGCCTTCTTGTACAAGGATCTACAGATGAGTTTGCCTGACATAAGTGTCTCCAGCTTCTACTAAGCATCATCTCTTTGTTTCAGGTGATGTATCTAGGTGCCCTTCAGACACATTGATCTTTGAAGATGAATCAGAGAAGGGAAGCAATGCACTTCTTGCACGCGCGTGGTCACCTGGATGGAGCAACGCTGATAGGGCGCTGACCACATTCATTAATGGACCTTTAATTGAGTACTCTAAGAATCGAAGGAAGGCAGATAGTGCTACAACCTCATTCCTTTCACCTCACTTGCACTTTGGGGAGGTGAGTGTGAGAAAAGTCTTCCATCTTGTCCGCATCAAACAGGTCCTATGGGCCAATGAAGGGAACAAGGCTGGCGAGGAGAGTGTGAACTTGTTTCTCAAATCAATAGGTCTTAGGGAATATTCAAGATACTTGAGCTTTAACCATCCTTACAGTCATGAAAAGCCTCTGCTTGGGCATCTTAAGTTTTTCCCTTGGGTCGTGAATGAGGGCTATTTCAAGGCATGGAGACAGGGTAGAACTGGCTATCCACTGGTTGATGCTGGAATGAGAGAGTTGTGGGCCACTGGCTGGCTACATGATCGGATACGAGTAGTAGTTTCCAGCTTCTTTGTAAAGGTGCTACAGCTTCCTTGGAGATGGGGAATGAAGTATTTTTGGGATACCCTACTGGATGCAGATTTAGAGAGTGATGCTCTTGGTTGGCAATATATATCTGGTACTCTCCCTGATGGCCGTGAGTTTGACCGCATAGATAATCCACAGGTATGGGTGAACATTTTGTTAATACTCATGCAATTTATTTCTAGCCTTGTTCCTCTAACATGCACTTAAATGCATGCATAAATCTCTGGCTGCAATTTCTGACCCTTTCTTTTCCTAGATACACTGTGTCATGTCAAGAACTTTTTCTTCCTGTATAAAGGAATTTTAGCAGTAAATAGCTTGGTGCATACCTCCATATTGCATATCAGTACTCAAATAGACAGGTTCTCTGTATGTAGTTCCAGTTCTCTGGCATGTACTGATCTTTTTGCTAGTTTCCATTCTTGAGAATACTTTCTTACATTAATCTGAAAAAGTTGCCAGAGAAAACTATCGTTTGTAACTTTGTATTGGAAATCTTCTTATAATTAGAATTTAGAAAGTTTTTCTATGTATTCTGTTTCTCCTTTCTTTTTTCTTTTTTTTTTGGTATGTTGAATGATGAACTATACAACAAGGGATAGCCCTCTCCTTCCCAAACCCCTCACCGCCCATCTCAAGCTTTGAACTTTGAGCTCTCCAATGTGGAGGCTCAAGCTCTTAACCATTGGGACATCCCTTGGAGGACATTCTGTTTATCTTATTTGTGATGAAAATCTTATGTGTTAACTTTAGCTTATGCATTTCTAGCTACTCAAAACTTTTCTTCAATTGTCTTTGGATTGTCTTCAGTGGAAGTTTTCTCATTCAGTTTAGTTAATTTTCCACAGTTTGAGGGTTATAAATTTGACCCAGATGGAGAGTATGTTCGGCGCTGGCTTCCTGAACTTGCAAGACTTCCAACTGAATGGATACACCACCCATGGGATGCTCCAGAATCTGTACTTCAAGCTGCTGGAATTGAGCTTGGATCAAATTACCCTCTCCCTACTGTAGGGATAAATGCTGCAAAAGCCAGGTTGGAACAGGCACTTTCAGAAATGTGGCAGCTAGAAGCAGCTTCAAGAGCAGCAATTGAGAATGGGACCGAGGAAGGCCTTGGAGATTCAACTGAATCAGCACCAATTGCCTTTCCTCAAGACATACACATGGAAGAAAACCCTGAACCAGTAAGGAACAACCCTCCAAACACAACTCGGCGATATGAAGATCAGATGGTCCCTAGTATGACTTCTTCTCTCTTAAGAGTTGAGGAGGAAGAAACTTCTTCAGATCTTAGAAATTTAGCAGAAGATAGCAGAGCAGAAGTCCCAAGAAATGTAAATATAAATCAAGAACCACGACAAGATACATTAAACCAAGGGATTGTGCACACAGTTCGCACCAATAACACTTTGCCACAGTTTAATGTTGCAATGGTGGTTGGAAATGCTGAAGATTCCACAGCAGAATCTTCAAGCAGCAGTAGAAGAGAGAGGGATGGAGGAGTAGTGCCAGTTTGGTCGCCTCCATCTTCTAGTTATTCGGAGCAGTTCATAGGTGAAGAAAATGGCATTGGTGCAAGTTCATCTTACCTGCAGAGGCACCCTCAGTCTCACCAAATAATGAATTGGAGGCGACTTTCTCAAACAGGGTAAGTATTTTATCAGCCATTTGGCTAGAAATCTCCAGTATCTTCACTCACATTGTTGATGTAAACAAATCTATGACACACAGACTCTTTCTGCCTAATGACTGATGAGGCTTACTAGAGAAATTCTTTTCGACTTAAGAATCCTGTCCAACAAGGAATTGCAAATTCTATATTGGATTCACAAGTTTCTTCACATTTCATAAAATACTAAACATATATCAGACTCATATGACTCAAAATATTTTGCGTTTTTGCAGGTGATACATTCCCAAGGACTGGGAGCATGGGGTTGAAGAATCCGATGTTGAATCTTTGTGAGCCAATGGGATGATAAATCAACATCTTACATGTATCTATATCTATCCCGTGCTCTTGTTACCAATCTAACCTGGTCAGCAGTTAAATGTCGTGTGTGTATGAAACATGATTGATACAGGCAGCTGATCATCTACCATCTTTTTCCCTTGTACCATATTCACAGTTTCTGTATAGTATTTTGTTGTTTCTCATAAGGGAAGAGTCATGTTAGCAATGGATAGTCCTTGAATAAACCAAGGTTTGTGCTTCTGCATTTAATTGAGGCAGATGTTTTAACGTAATTCATATTTGCTCTCTCTCCCCTCTTGTACATCTGCAAATTTGTTTGATCGTTCTTTTCTGGACTTGAATTATTATATATTGTTAGGACACTAAATTCATTAAGCTTCCTAGCACTAATGCTTTAGACTTTTTTTTGTGAGTTTTGTGTTGTAGCTGTGGTTGTAGTGATAGATTTTTTATTTTTTAATATATTCAAAATATATAAATTATTTTTAATATTTATTATAAGGGATTGCCAAAAGTTTGTCTTTCTTGATCATTATAATGTATGAAATGATAATAAAAGGATTTTATATACATTTAATGAATTAATATATTAAAAAATTTACTTAGAATATTTAAATAATTTTATAATTAATCTTAAAGTTTTGAATTTTACATTTTTATTATTTTCATTAATATTTTATATATATTTAGAATAATAAAAAGTACGACTACAACATCACACATAACACCGTCAAATGAAGTCTTAACATATGTTTCTAAAGCTGGGAGCAAACTTGTAGTTGGTTTAGTTCCATGAATCCAGGTTTTGGCTTTTCAAATGAGAGGACAAGTGTCACGGGAGAATTCGAGGAAGGTTTATTAATCCTGTGATGATTAATTTTCAGAATTTAAAAGTACAATGATGCCATGCCATATTACCATGAATTATTATTGTCAAGAATATTACCTCTTAAAACAACCGTTCAAAACCATCAACCTTAAATCTTTGGTGTCATCACCAAAGATGCATGAATAAGCCAAAGGTCTGGAAGAGGATACTGGTGTTGTTCTTGTTGAGTGCCATCCCCAGAAGCAGGAGCATTGGGGATCATGGAATTTCAAACTAGAAATTCTACCTCTCTTATTGCCCATAAAGCCTACCACACAAAAATTCATGACCCAATTGACCTTTTTTTTTGTTTTTTTTTTGATAAAAGGTATAATTGGATTAATAATTGAAAAGCAATTACAGTGCAGAGTATACCATATCATATAGGCTATTTAAGAGAGATAAATAAGTTAGGTAAGACCTATAACACTAATATAGAGAGCTTGGTGCTCCATACAAATAAAAACAATTAAGAACTGAAAACCTCTAAATCCTGGTATATGTTATAAAGACATCAATAGAGCTATGTGATAACATAGAAAGACTACATTGAAGTTTACGGACATCTATTTTACCATCCAAACATCCAAACCTAGCACAGGAGATCAAGGGACTTGGCAATGCAATGTCTCCCGACACCACAATGCTCCGTCCAAGTAAAAAATGCCTAGTTTGTTTCATGTTCAAGTGGCCGGCAAAAGCAAAACTAGTGCAAGAACATACACTTCCTTAGAAGACCAACATCACTAGACCCAAAGTCACCCACAACATCCTTGTCCTTTTTGTATTTGATTACTGGATCGGAAATTAGAGTGCTCTAGGTTCTCTGATGTATATCTAAGGATGTTGCTACCTTGCCGAAAATTGGAGTGCACCAAGTTCTTCAAATGCAACCCCTGCCAGGATCCCATCTGAAATTGAAGGCATGTCAAAGTGAGATTCTGATTCGATGAATAAGAGAAAACCAAACCCACCAGCAAGATCATGTCCCTCGATATTCAATCACAACCTTCAAAAATCTAGATCGAAAGATGCTGCTACCTTGTGGTCCCTTGGGTTGAAGTTTCCAAAACAAGACAGTCGACTAAGAGGAAGGAAGAAATCAAGGGGAAGAAGGAAAGGGAAGAAGACAGTAGAGAAGGAAGAAACCCGTAGCCATTGCCCTCAACCCTAGACAGAGCAGAGAGAAAAACCCTAATTTTTTTGCTTGACCCAATTGACCAATTGAGTTCTCTTTGTTTTATATATTGTAGTTTGTGGAGATTGGAGAGACAGCATAAAAGGGCTTTAGACCTTATTTAATTCTTAAATTTTTTGTTGATATTTTATATCAGTTTGCATTCATAACATTAAATCAATCACTTAATCTGGCTAAAAGAAAACTATTCTCTAAAATTAAAAGATTATAACATATCTTCTAATTATTATTAGATTTCTATATTTGATTCAAATATATCTATCTATTTATTTAATGAAAAAATTAAGTTTATTGCGTTACATATGATAATACAATGGTGTCATTTTCTCAAATTGCATCGATTCCATTTACATCATCTTTGAATATAGATTGGTCGTCTGATGTGTGCTGGTCCCTTAGTACACAATATTGGACCAATTCCATTGCTTTCTTCCTTGAGCAGTAGTCTCAGACCAATTCAATATGGCCATATGCAAAAAACAGGTACGGTAAATGTGTTCCTCTTTTCTTGCTTTTTATTCGTTTACAATTCACTATTAAAAATGAACATGCCTTTGATTATTTGGCATTGCTTTTGCAACTTCATTACGTTAAGCTTACGCGGAATTTGGAAACAAGATTTTTACGCTTCTGCTTCCGAAAGCAAGATATGCTTTACGGTTTGGAATGCTGAGTTGCAAACAATGCAAATAATGTCCGTTCACATCAGAGCTAAGGGGATTCAAATTCGCTTTGAATTGAACAACATACTCTTGTTTAAGGGTACATTTGCTATAGTAGTTTTGAGGTAGCAGTTAATGATTTTAGGATAATATTTAGTGGTTTTACCTAAATCGCTAAAAATAAGTGTTTGGTAAATTTATATATTTTGAACCTACTACAAATAAGGTGTTTGATAAAAATTTTTATTTAACAGTTTAAAACTAATAGATAGCAGTTAGAATCCAAACTTCTAGCAGATAAAAAAAACTAACTTAGATAGTTTTTTTATATCAAACCACTAGCAGATTGAAATTTTTTAATTTTGTTGGCAAATTTATTCATTTTAATATTTTAATTTTTATCTACAATTTTTAATTAATCTTTATCTAATGAGTTTCAAATTTGTTTTTTACCTTTAAAAACATTAAATGATTATTATATTTTTATTTTTTATATTAATTTATCATAAAAAATATATTATCTTAATAAATGAAATTTGGTAATTAGACAAAATGATTAATTTTTTATTTTAAAATAATATGATTTTTTTGTTAAAAATAAAAATGATGTTGTAATTACATTATTATAATTTATTTATTTTATTTATTTATTTTCTTATTATTATTTTTATAAAATTAATAATTTTAATAATAAAAAATAAAAATATTTAAAAAATATATACTTAACTGCTTTTAAATATTCTTTATTAGTCATTTAATATTGAACAACAATTGCTAACTATTGTATAATCAAACAGTTATATCTATCGAATCTGTTCTTTGTTATTTACTATCAACTTTCTGTTATCCGCCATTCGCTATCTACTAACCATCACCGACTACCCATTATTGTTATTCACTATCTGCTACTTGTTATTTGCTAAGTTTTAACCGATATACCAAATAGGCCTTAAAGCTAAAACTTTTATAAGAAAAAATATTGTACAATTTAAATTGAATTGAACTACATAAATTAAATTATTGGATAAAAAATAGACTAATACTAAAAGATATTTCACATTTAATAATTCATATTTTATAATTTAGACTATAAAATAGTTAACTCAATCTTTATATAGAAAGTTTTAGGTTGTAACATTTGAGATTGGTAAATAACTATCTCACTATATGTAGAATTATAGATCATGTGTATATTATATGCACAAAAATAGATAATATCCAAGAATTAAGGATAATGTTAGGGACTCTAAAAAGTCTACTATTTGAATCTCTCGTTAAACCAAGAAAGAAAAAAGAAAAAGAAAAGATTTTAACTTAATAGTATGTTTAAGTTGAGAGAAACGAAGGGAAAAGAAGAGGAGAGTTTTTTAACTAATTAAATTGTAATATTTTTAAATATTATAATCTTATTGATAAAAAAACTCTCCCTTCCCCTCAAACCAAACATAATATAAGGGTTGGCTTCATGAATAAGAAAGTGTCATTTTGGAAGTCAAGTTTAAAGTTCAAGCCTAGAGGCCTTGCATCCAAGAAAATTAATTTTCTTAAATACACCGAATACGTCCTTAAAATTGCCCAAGAAAGGAATGGCCCTGAGGTCATAAATACCAAAAAAAAAAAAAAAGATTGCAAATCAGTCATTATTGTAAACTTTCATGGAGAAAAGAGAGGAAAACAGAAAAGGAGAGCAGAACACACAATTTTCATTAATGATTCTTCCTTTTATAGGGACATAAAGGAAACTACTAAAAATAGAAGGAAACTTCTATGAACAAAAACAAGTTAACTACCCATTACACTAAAAACAAACTATTAACTTTAACTAATTAAAAGTAACGTGAGTGCCACTATCAAAAATACAAGTCTATGGCTTTAGTGTCATGGTTAACTTCAACACTCCTCCTTGGCAATAAGGCAATAGACACTAATGACAAACTTGTTTTGTGGTCTATCAACTTGTTCCCAGGTACCATTCTTGACAATCATGTTGATCTCCTCCTCCATAGCTTTTCTCCATGCCTTTGAATTTTCAACATCCTAGTAATCACATGACTCTAAAACAACCAAATTACAACTACTATAAACATCATCAAGAGTTCTAGTACCTCTCATAAAAGGGTCATCAACTAAATCATTATTAACACATTCTGCATTGTCATGACTAGGTTTAGGAAAAACAAAGAAATCCAAATCATCACTACCATCAATGACTTGCTACTTCTCCTAGTCCCATATAGCTTTCTCATCAAATTTCACACTCCTACTAACTTCAATTTTCTAAGTTTTAACATTGAAAACTCTATATGTCTTAGAATGTGAACTATAGCTAATAAAAATGCAAACATCAGCTCTGGTCAAGCTTGTCCCTCTTTGTTATAGGAACTAAAGTATAACTAACACTCCCAAAAATTCTAAGATGGTTAACAGAAAGCTTGAAATCAAACCAAACTTCATAGGGAGTTTTGTTTTGGACTGCCCTAATAAGCAGTTTGTTGAGAAGATAAATTAATGTGTCCATTGCTTTGGCCCAAAACTTCTTAGGCAAACCCTTTTCAAACAACAAACACCTTGTCATGTTCATTACTGGTATATTCTTCCTCTCAATGACACCATGTTGTTGGGGTGTATGTGGCACAATGAGTTGGTGATGAAT